TGCTTCGAACAAATACATAAGCAGCAACAACCACCAAAAAAAACCTTAAATTCATCTATTCAAAGGAAAGCCAAAGCCCCCACCCATACACCCCTACTTTTTCATAAAACAGAATTGTCCTGACAGGGCTTTCCTGTTCTTTCGAGTCAATAGTCTCAAATGGCTTAAAAATAGATGATCGCTTTACATTTATCATTTGAACAAACATGGGAAATACAGAAACAATCCTCAAGGAATTCCCGGTGTAACTTTCCCATCCCTACAGTTAGTAATGTGATTCTTAGGGAATGGCAGATTCTATAAATGAACACACTAGTCACATCTTGGCATCTGGCCTCCTGAAACACTGTGTCATTTGAGGACAATCTCACTTGGAGGACACACTCATGATTTCAGAAACTCTCCTAAAAAGCCCAGAGATCCTGGGAGCTCAGTGAAACTCTCCCTTCTGGGTGCATAGAATATGTTTGACACCACTAGGACTATATTCTATACTTACACCCCATTTCTTCTTGGTCACAGCTGTACACTTGGGAGAGATCATCTCCTGGGGACTAAGGGATAAATGAGTTTTCACAAAGGAATTATGGAGAATGACACTTGTTAGTCTCTTGTCCTGTTGGTTCAACAGAACCCTTGATTAAATAAACTTAGGGAGAGAAGAGTTTTTTCATAGTCCCATAGGATATAGTCCATCACAGGAAAAACACAGCTGCAGAGTGGTAGGGATGGGTCCAATTCATCTGGAGTCCTTAAGAGAGCAATGAATGCCTGTGTTCAGCTCGTCTTTCCTTTTGCTCTAGTCTAAGTCTCCAGCCCATGAACTCTTGCCACCCAGAATTAAGGACAGTCTTCACATCTTAATCAACCTACTCTAAATAGTCCCTCACAAGTATGCCCAGAGATTTGTTTCCATGGTAATTCTACATCTCATCGAGTTTCAAGTCCAGATTTAACTATGGCACCACTAAACTAGACAATTTGGAGATGTGTGTTGTAATTTGGGGTAGAAGACTAATTATCATTGGGGCATTGAACAATTTATGTAGTCTGCCAAGCAACCCTCAATTTCCTTATCTGTTAAGTAGAAGATTTCATGGGATTCCTAGGGACCATTCTAGCATTGGCGCTCCAAAAGGAAAAACAGTAACAATACACAATGACTTCATGGTAACCCCAGAGAAGGTGCTACTGTGTAAGTATGCAGGCTTCAGCACATGTGCACTGTGGTCTATTAGAACAGTTAAACTGGGAGAAGCAAAACCAAAGACTCATAATGGGTAGAAACTGGGATGGGAAGTCGGAAGAAAGAGGTTTGCACTCAGCAGTTACTTGCGAACCATCCCTTTATCCTCAAGCAACCAAAGACTCTATGTCTCTGCCATCCCCACACTCAGAAGCTGACAGTGAGAAGGAGACTCTTTTGCCTTTGTGCAATTTAGATTCTCCCAGGAGAGACAAGTAACAAATAAACAAAAGGGAAAGACAAACGATAATTGAAGATTGTTATAAATGTCAGCGAGGAAATAAATGAGGGATGCAACCTCCTAGGAGAAGGACTTTTCCAAGGGAAGAAAAGAAGTCAGATTCATTAGAAGACCCCAATCGAGGGGAAAGCACATGCTGTGAAGTTCCAGGGAAGTAAGATGATGGTCTAAGAAGGGCTCAGCAGACACAAGGGGGAATCACTTCAGGGTTCTAGGAAGGAACAAGATCTTAAACACCATTTAAGCCAATGCCCACAGCCTCTGTGCAGACAATGTAGAAAGGAGACAATCACTGTGAACTCCTGGGATGCCGCTCTTTGGTATTTTACAATCACTTAGAACCAACGAGGTCGTAATTTTTGTGTATGTATTTTCCTGTATTTGTTCCAGACAGTGAGTAAGGGCAGTTCTAAGAAGAAAGCTGTATTTTGGAAACAAGCCCTCTCACAGTTTGCTTGTCCCACATCCCCAAAAGAAATACTCTGTTTGTTCTCTGACCAAGACCTGAAGTCAGCCTCTTGTCCAGGACTGAAGATTCCACTGAGAAGAAATGACATCCCTAAACTAGTGTTTAGGCCTGACTCAGTGGACTCCTTGAAAAATCCACTTCTGGTCTTGCATGGAATTCCTAGTGATAAGAAGGCATCTGCCATTTCAGTTAATAAAAGAATTGGTTTTGTTTTGTTAAATGTCTTTTCATTTGAAAGCTCTGATTCATTTTCAATCCATACTGGTAAACTGTATAAGTTTTTCTGTTTTATTTTTCATGGTGTAGCTATTGGCATCTCGGCACTCTATTAATAGGTGGTTTTACCCTAAGTCTCTGGAAATACTACTATTACTATTTACCACATTATAACGTTCTGTTTCTACATTTTCTTTTATTCCATTGCTCAGTCCATTCCTGTTCTGTGGTTTCTACTTTGAAGTAGGAGAATATGCCTCAATACTAAGTGGGCTAGCATGTTATTTCAACTTCTTCACAACACTGTCAATACGTGCACACAAACACACGTGCGCACGTGCGCGCACGCGTGTGTGTGTGTGTGTAGTTTCCTGTTCTTGTGATAAATTACTAACTGCTTATGACAAAAGCAAGTTAGGAAAAGAACCATTTTCAGGGGTACAGTCCATCTTAAGGAGGAAGCCAAGGTATTGGGAGCTTGAAGCAATTTATCATGTTAAATCTGTATTGGGAAACAGAGACCAATGAATACCTGTTACGGCTCAGCCACTTTCACCACTTACACAGGCCAAGATCCCAGGTAAGGAGTTTTGCCACCCACAGCACCAGAGACACCCCATCTCCATTAATCCAATTAATACAATCAAAGGTAATCCCTAGCAAACACAGCCAGAAGCCCAGAAGCCAATCTCCAAAATCAGTTCTACAGAATCTGTCACATTGTCAATTAACACTCATCCTCCCAGTAAGCATCCTAAAGAATGTAAGCTGATATACCATTGTGCTTTTGACTGAGATCTCTCCTCTGAGAGTAAATGGCTTGGTGTTAGATGACTTCTAGAACTGCCCTAAGAAGTCTGGATCTGATTGCCCTTGGGGAACTGGGCAAGAAGGATGCAACTAATCACTTTTTCCAACTCATCCATAGTAACTGTCAGTTTTTTTCTTTTTAATGGAATTATTTTGGCAAATAAATGATTTCTTGGAAAATCACTTACTTTCACATCAGTTAAACCTCCTGTGCTGCAATAGCTGTTGCCTTTTCAATTAGCCTGTCTGTGCTTGCTTCTCTCACTCTTGAATGCTAAATCAAACTTTCTTCTTAATTAGATTATCTAGAGATTATCTAATTTTTTCATTGTTTAAACAAATAGTTACATGATAATATGGTTCTTTTTCCTACTTTATTAGTTTTTGCTTTTGTTCTCAGTACTCTGACTCTTTCTCTTTATTAGCTACATTGTTCTGTGTCCCAAGTTGTGTGGTTAGATGTTAAATTCATCTACTGCCTTTCATTCTTATTGACATATGCATTTAGTGTGATACAGTTTGTTCTGGCTATTGCTTTAATTGCACATTAAATATAATGCATATCCCATTCATCGAATTGCCAGGTCTACAGGGTTTAATACTGATTTTTATGTTTGTATTTGAATCTGTATTTTTGCAAAATCAGAGTGTTTAAATTATTACCTTTTATTTAATTTAAACTACTTTTTATGATATACTCAACTTTTTTAACATGATATAGTATGTGGTGACTTCAGAATTGTTCATAAATGTCCAATGTGCATTAGAGAAGATTTAGGAAAGAAGTTGAAGTAGCATTAACAAGGTGTAAATAAATCTTATTTGGTGTCCTTCTTGTCCATACTTGTCCTTGTTCACAGCATCTCTCTCAAGCTGAGCCTCCCTGTCTGGTGAGTGAGTGAGTGTGTGTGTGTGTGTGTGTGTGTGTGTGTGTGTGTGTGTGTGTGTGTGTGCATTTGTTGTAGTTTCTGTTAGGAAGGCAGCTGATCTTCAGGATGCTTTATCTTATCTTTGCTGGGAGTTTGGGCCTTTGCCATTATAAAGGCTTCCTTTCTGTGTTATCTCTTTTGATCTTTGTCCCAACTGATCAGTTCCAAATATCTCTAGTTCCAGCTTCATTTCTTTTATGAACATTTGGCATATTTCGTTCTTTGTGCTCAGACTTTCTGCACTCACCCAGATTATGTATCTTGTGTGCACAGGGTTGGCTTTGCTTGCTGAGCTACTTTAAAACAATAATTATGTTTTAACACACGAGTTAAGTACAATTTCAGTCATTAATACAACTGATATGACTTATTTCAAATTATCAATTATATACTGTGTTTATTGTGTTTTAATTATGACTCATATTGTGTCATATTTTCTCTCTCCATCTCCCTTTACTCTCTCCTACCTTTTTGGTTTGTTAAAGTTGGTTTTGCTTGCTTTGGACATCTTTTTTTTTGTTAGAAAGGTTCACACTCATATTCTAGTTGTTATTTCAGACTGACACCTACCTGTAATATCAGAGTCTTATTTTTGTCTTAGTTTGAGTCTTCTGCCACAGCTGCCCCTGAAGTCTCTGACTCTCTCCTGACTCTCTTTTCATCTACAATAAGTTTCAGCCCCCAACTCTGTCATCACACACTTCTAGTTTCTTCTTTTCCCAATTACTGGGAAATTAAAGTTTGTAAAGTTCCTTGTCTTTATGTTGTTGAAAGGAGTGGTTTTATGTGCTAGCCTTGTTCATGGGCATATTTTTTTCAGATGTGTGGAGATTCTAATTTAGGCTGCTGCCATTATCCCATGGACCTGGAAGCTTCTCATAGACTTTTATGAGAATTAAATGAGCTAATCTGGTGAAAATAAAGATCGCTCATTACCCTTTGGTGGAAAGACTTTAGTAATTTGTTCTCTTGCATTTAAGGGATAGCATAGTTTTCTAACTACTATGTATTAACCCTTTTTTGTGAAGTATTTTTATCCCCTTTCACTAATTATCAGGTCTTTTGTTTTGATGCATATAAATCATGTACCTTGAGGTGCAGAAAATTGAGATAGACTTGAAGGGACAGCAGCATTCTTGTGGGCTTCACTGTGGAGAGCCGAAAGGGCTGAGGCATCTGGACATGTAGAATAGAAGGCACTAAGAACAATTGCTGACTCTGGAAAGAAGGAAAAATCAGTTGTTTGATTAACCATTGCTCTGATGCTTAGCTTTGTCCCATACAGTGGGTAAAGCTATGAGTGCTGTGGTTTTCAAATACCTAAGCAGGACTCATAGGGGCTCACAGAGAGTAAAAAGACAATCACAGAGCCTGCCTGGATCTGAGCTAGGCCCATACATTAAGATTGTGTAGCTTCGTATTCTTGTGGGACATCTAACAGTGTGAGTGGGGTGGTGTCCTTGACTCATTTGCCTAGGGCTTTAAGACCTTTTTCTTCTTACTGTGTTGCCTTGTCAAGCCTTGATATGAGGGTTTGTGTCAAGTCTTATTGTAACTTGTTATGCCATTTTCAGTTGATATCCCTGGGAGACCTGTTCCTTTTTGGGGGGAGGGGGCTGAATAGGAATGGAAGGAGGGGAATCTTTGATCAGGATGTAATGAGAAAAGAATTTTAAAAAATACCAAAACTGGGTCTGCTGTTTCATACACATAATTCTAACACTTGGGAGGCTGAGGCAGGAGGATTGATTATCATAATTTGAGAGCAACCTGGGCTGCATGTGAGCTCCAGCCTAGAGTGAACTGGAGAATAAGATCCTGTCTGAAAAAGAAAAGACAACAACTTAACACTCACCAAAGTCCTTTTTGAGCAATGTTCACATTTACCTTGTTAAATTCTCTGTGACTAAGGTGTTACATTTGGCCTCTAAAGAGCAATGATCTATGATAGACAGAGAATGAGCATAGTAAAGGTTTAAAAGTCTATATGAGATGATAAGTGCCAATCTACCACTACACTCCCAACCATCCAAGAACTTTGAATTGACAACATCTCCATCATAAATATGAGAGGAAAAATAAGATTCAGAAAGACTGAATGAAACTTCTGTAATAAAGTACATGATTGAAAGATATATAACTTTGACAAAGGACAGAAAAGTACATTCTTTGGGGTTCTTTGCTCAGATCTCAAGTACACACACACACACACACACACACCTCAAATGACCCAGATAGAAATACATAGATGCATTGTTGAAGAGGAAGTTTCTTATTGCAAGAACAGTCTAACATAACTCTCAGAGCTATTAGATTTGGTAGACCCTGTCTGGTACGGGGCAGTGTCTTCATTCTCAGGTGCTGTAGAGAATCACACTCAGCTAGAGAGAATCACTCTTATCTATAGAGAAACACACTCAGATGCTCCTGTTTTGTGTGATTTCATCAGCAAGGACTCTCCCTTCCTGAAAAAAGGAGCCCTACCTTTGCACAGCTATCTTCCAGCAGGAACCCCTTCTCAGAAGAGTTGGTAACTAATACTATCTCTGGGACCTGAGAGGGAGCTTGATGGAAAGTGCAGGAAGGGGGGTGACAAGGGACAGATTGCCTGTCATCTGATCAGGAGGCTAGTGCCCTAGTTTGCTTGAAGGAACAAAGACCTGGTCTGTGGAGCTGTCCTTGGAGCCAAAAAACCCCAGCAGGGTGTGAAGTGGTCTGGGAATGACCTAAAGCCAAATCTGTTAGAGAATGAGAGGCTTAGAAATATCAGAGCCACGGGGTGGGGAAGTGGCTCTAATGGAATTAGAGGATATTCTCAGCAGGACCTGGCTCTGGAGTATCCTCTCAGTTCCCCCAGGAGGCTCTTAATAAGGAGTTAAACCCTGTACTCACAACTGAGAAGTTGGGAAAAAAAACCAACGAACAGCAGAACATTTATGAGTAAGTTTCCCACTTGCATTCAGGAGCATGGCACCCCATCTGGAGAACTAATTGAGGAGGCCTGGAGGAAAACTGTGCCACTCTCTTTACAAAGACCAGAAACTGAGTCGTTCCTGTACGGTTCCTTCTCCACCTGCTATAAACAAAGACAGAGCCCTTGGGGGAAGAAACAGAATGGAAGCCAGATTCCACCAGTGCAGGTTTATAGGTTACAGCAAACTTGAAGAAGAGACATGTAAATTATCATCAATACCAAACTTCTCTACCTTGACTACCATTTTAAGCTACGAAGATATAACATAACTTGAGCCTGGGTTCTCCTCTGTGGAGCCTGGGTTCTCCTCTGTGGAGTCTAGATCATATTATTTACTCTATAAGGAGAGCTCTGAGCACAGAGATTTACCAATGATGACTCCAGACGGGAAGACATCCAGCCACTTATCAGAAATTGGATGGGCAGTTAGGCAAGATGGCATAAGGAGAGCAGACAGGGGAGAGGAGGGAACATATAGAAAGTCCTAAAAGAATGGCGACGAGGCCTCGGGAGCTCAATCTTTGAGCTTGAAGCCTTAGAGTCAGAATTTGAGGTTAGATCTGATAGCAACTGTGGTAGTAATAATTACCATTAGTTAAGAGCATGCTACAGACAAATCATCTTTCTATGATTTTATGTTTATCCCATCCAATACTTGAGATAACATTCGTGGACAAGTATTATGGTCTCATTTTAGAGATGAGAAAATTAAGACAATGGCAGGGGATGGAGTTCAGTTGGCACGGTGCTTATGTACCATATATGAAGCTCTGAGTTCAATTCTCTGCCTCACATAAACTCAGTATGTCTGTAATCCTAGAATCTAGAAGGTAGTTGTATGAAGACTAGATACATGAATGATGCCTCAAAAAAATTAGAAAGAAGGGAGTGGGGAGAGTTAGAGAGAGATTAGATTTCTCACTGAAGTTCACGCTGATAGGAAATTAAGGATCTGAGCTATAGAAGTCAACTTAAGCGAGGTATAAGAAAAACCAACTAGTGCGTGCATGCATGTGTTCATAGCATGACAGATACAGAGTTGTACATGTCGACATGAAGAAAGGGTAGGCTGAGGAAAGAAAGCAGAAGCTTATGAAAGAAAGGAGGAACTGCTTAGAGACCCAGGTGACCATCTCAGCAAGGAATGGTGGGGTCAGGGCACAGGCAGCCGAGAGGAGAATGCGGCAGTACTGGCAGTGGAAAAGACTGCATCCTGTGAGATGAGACTCCAAACCAGCAGGGCTCACCAGAGATGAAGGAACTTCGAGGGTGGTGGGGCTGTAAGCCTGAGGGATTGGGAACCTTTTAAAATGTTGCTGCTAAGCTTTCAATATAAAAAGGAGCCGGTTTCTTTCCAATGGTGTTATTCCAAGCTCCAAAGATAATTCGAGAAAAACAAACACTCAACTTCTTTCTACAGGCTAAAGGGTATATAAACCCCTTAGCAGGAAAGAAGGCACAAGCTGTCTGCTGCTTAACTCTGGTAATGTCCCTGTGCTGCTCTGACCTCCTGTAACACGATCTCACACAGGGAAGACATGCAGTGCTGATGGACAGGCATTAGGTCAGGATTAGGATACTATGAACCAGCGTTATGTCCTCTTGTGTGTGCAGACATGCCTTCATTTACACACTTTCCCAAAGTATTGAAGACAAGAAAAAACAGATTTTAGCGTAGTCACCAGTGGGCTGCATTCATTTTGTGCCTGCTTTCCAAGGAATGATATTCTTTTAAATTAAGCTAGAGACAATGTCAAAGAACCATAGTGACAATTTTGTATTCTTTAAGAGAAAAACTAAACAGTACAACCATTGAAAGGATGCTATGCAGTAATAAAATATTTTCCTGTTAAAAGAAATGTACCTTAAGTTAAATTTTTGAAAAATATCCAGTGATATAAACTATTAGAAAACAATACTTTCCCAAACATGCCCAGGGTCATCAAACACGGTTGAGAGAAGACTGAAGAAGCGTGATGGCTGGGTGCAATATGACATCGTGGATGGAACTCTACAACAAAAGTGGGACCAAGGAAAAGAGCAAACAAATACTGTGCAAACTTTCCCAGGTCTAAGGTTTAACGACTCATGTATGTCATAATACAATGACTGCTTTAAATGACATGCTTTTTTTTTTAATTTCACATGTCAGAATCTCGGAGATGTATTGCATAATGTGCTAAGTGCCTCTTTCTTTCTGTAATAATTCACTGCAGACAACCTCCTCCCCTGCTAGCCGAGTTATGCTGTAAGTAAGCACAAGCAAAACAGCGAACCCAAAGCATTTATTTACAAGAAAATGGCATTTATACAACTTATTAAAGTTGGGTTCCTATGCTGAGTGAATCTGAACCATAGGGGATTGCCAATATCTGGTTGCTGCTTATATGTGAAATATGGTTCAATCTAGTGCACGTGAGGAATGAGTCAAGGCTGCTTTGCCGATGGGCAAGTCTCCAGTTTCCAGCTGGCTCCCCTGCCAGCCCAGGTTTACTGCAGGCCCCTAATAAGTAGCCACTCAGAGTGGTGAACTGTGTTTAAAAAAAGATTCCACAGGTTATGTTTTCACTGCCTTCTGTCTTCTTTCCCTATGGCACCTACAAGCCCTGCATAAGCAATTCCAACTCTGGCAGGACTGGAGAGACCAACGGGAGCGGGATTCCTTTGTACTGCCCAAGACCCAAAGTCTACACAGATCTGGGGAGGAGATTTTTATTGCTGCCTAGGAAAGTCTTTCTCCTCACTGGACCATCTAAGAATTACCTATTGTTTGGGGGGGGGGGGCGGAGGGCAGAACAAGGGTCTGGGATTTCCTAAGGGACCTGGGACCTGCAATCAAGACTGCAGAAACCTTAAGGAATGAGGGTCTGGAAAAGGTATTTGGTTTGTTAAAAGGGTCCCGCGCCCTGCGTTTGACCCGCATCGCAGAATCCTTAGTAATAAGGCAGTATTTTATCCTTGCTTCCTCTTTCCCTCCTCCCCCTTCCTTCCCCCTCCTTCCAATTCCTGACTTTTTTTTAACCCCCTAGAGTAGCAGCCATGGAGCATGGGGTGAGAAGTCGCTGGAAGGACAAGTTGACAGATAGGACTTGGGTCGCTGGGTCACCGCGAGGCGTCGTGATCTGGACTCAGACAGAGCGATTTCCTCGGTGATTTTAATCTTTTCGTCTGTTCACACGTCATGCCACCTGGACATAATGCAGAGAAATCTGGAGCTTAACAAAGTTTTCCCCTTGCCCCAAAGCTCACCCAGGGAAGAGTGGAGGAGAGAGGGAAAGAGAATTAACCCTTTCCCTGTCTTCTCCAGCCAGGACAGCAAACCTGGCCCCACCTTACAGACAATTCCAGGTCTTTGAGTAATGAGGGTCTTGTCTTTATAGAATCTGTAAATAATATAATTAGTTGCCACCTTTGCTTCCGTAGACACATGTAAGTGGTGGCTTTATCATTTTGGGGCTGAACTTCTGCCCAGGTTTTGATTGATTTTCAGCTCTCTTGTAAATTCTCAAAGAAAAAAAAAACATTTATTTGGGTGTTGGGGGTTGGGGCACAGAGAGAAAGGTCGCTGAGGAAGAGAAGAACTACTACTAAGGAAAAATATTACTATCGTCCCCATTGCTGTGACCAAACAGTTTCCTTGTCTGATTTCCCCCATAAGGTTCTGAGCTATTTCTGACCAAGAGTGTTAATGCTTAGAATTAGCAGATTTCAACAGAGTTGGTGCCAGCACTCCAGAAAAAAAAATGAATCCTCAGACTTTGTTGGAGCTGGATATGCAGTAAGAGCTAAGAGAGAGCTGGGTGGGTGGGGATGGTGGGGAACAGGGTGCTCCTTCAGCTCTCACCTGGGGACAGAGATAGAAAGAGAAAGGCAGTTGTGGAGATGCATGGAATCTGGGCATTTACAGGAAGAAGGCTGCATCTGGGACCATTAAGTGAAACAAGCTAGACTTGGAAAGAAAACCTCATCTTCTCTCTCCTATGCAGAATCCAGCTTCAGTTTTACAGAAACCTGTTTGCATATCTGCCTACATGTTGAGGGGGGTCTCAACGGAGGAGGGGGAACAAGAGAGATAGTGGGATATATGTAACAAGAAAGCAGAGGAGGGGTTATTTGGAAGATGATGTGGATGGCAATGTATATACATGGGGGGCCAGAGGGAAGAGAACAATGTCAGAAAATATGCTAGGGAGACCTGTTACTCTTCACAAAACATAACAAGGCGTTAAGTGGTGGGGCAACTCTTACCCATACCCCTGAGAACAGCTGTTGTGCTTCTGCTTCCACACCTGTTGACCTGTCCTGGTTATCTACTTGGATGTCAGTGCCGGCTATAAAATTCATAGAGAGAATATGTCTGTCCATCACATCTCCAATGTGTCTGAGTGATAGTGGGGTATTTTAAATATCCACTTATTTACTCAGCATGGTCTGAGTGCCTGGCATTTGCCAGGTACAGACCAGACAAAAAGGATAATATGAACAGTAAGTTAGCATCTGTATTGTCAAGTAGCTCCTATACTGGTATGGGAGATGGACAAGAAAAAAAAAAGAACAGTAAAAGTGTCCGTGATGCAATCCTGG